CTGGCATGCTCTGGTCCATGGGGTCATGAAGAGTCGGACACGACTTAACGACTAAACAAAAACAAATGAGAACAATAACATCTTAATAAGATGGATCAATAAAATATGTGAATCATAAAAGCATTTTATTTCCCCATAGAACTACTTCTTTCCTAAAATCCATTTTCTTTCTTACAATCTTTATAAATGACATTAATAATTTACAAGGACATCAGTAGTCTGAATATAGTGGTTAGCCTCAACTGAAATCAATGGAGCTTTGCTAAATCAACACTTAGGTAAGTCCATTGATTCAGTGACACCTGTGGAAGGGTGAGAATGTCATGAACAGGGGAAGATATTTGGTAATTAATAACATCCTATTGCTGTCCTGCGGTTTGTTTTACTTGCCAGTATTCTCTTCCATTACTTGGGAACCACAGGACAGAAATAATAATCACGTACCATCAAATCACTTCTGAGTAATGGTGACCCTTTTCAGGGTTTTCCGGGTAGAAAATGCTCAGAAGTGGTTTACTCTTCTGTTCTTCTGGAGACATCCTGGGACTGTGCAGCTTGCCCAAGGCCACGTAGACTGGCTCTATTCACACGAGGCACAGTGGGAAATTGATCTCCCAGCTTCTGGCTCCAAAGCCAGATATGTAAGCCACTGAGCTATCCAGCCAGCTAGGAAGTCTTTATTGCAGAAAAAAAAAACTGGGAAAAAAACCTCCCTCTTGATAATTTCATCCAATGGTGGAGATCTTTGGTAATTATAGATATTCTCTCTTGGCTTTCATGGCTTCCACACAATAAAATATGTTACTCACTAGTCAAACAAGTTGCAGGACAGAAGGAAGAAGTCTTAATTGTTGAGCTATCCAGCCAGCTAGTAAGTCTTTATTGCAGGACAGAAGGAAGAAGTCTTAATTGTGCAAAATCTTCCCCTACTGTTGATGTCATCTCCTTTCTGCAGGTGTAATTTATGCAACATGATTTTGGTCAGTGAGTTTGGTCAGTGAGTTTACTACGATTCCCTCTAATAACTGAGCCCCAAGATGCTATTCCATATATCAGTACTGCTACGTAAAGAAGACTGTA